TCATGATGTGATATGCCGATCTTGTAAACTTTTTCAAAAATGGCATCCATTTTATCAGTAACAGTGTGATCTGAGCGACATGCCTCTTTGACATCAAAATTTCCGGATTGAAAACGCTTAAACCAAATTTATGCTACTCTTACAAATATTGCACGAGAGTCATAAACGACACAAATTTTTATTGCGGTTTGCTTTACATTTTTACATCCTTTATAATAAAATTTTAAAAGTAAACAATTTTTTAACTTATTTAGAATGAAGTTGGCCGAGAATTAACGATATAGTCGACTACGAAAAAGTGAAAATAAATGTTTCTGTCATATATTCATAAAATATGAACCATAATAATTATATGAAACTAATTTGGAAAATATTATTCTTTGAAAACTTAATAAAAGTAAGAAAAATATATTACATAAATTTGCTAAAATACATATAACATTAAATTGGTTATATAAAACGTAACAACAACAAAACAGCACAAATAATGAAGATATTACAGAAATTGCCAAGTCGCCCATAACTTTTTCGCTACCGTAGCACTGTGTGACGTCACTTAGTGGCTTAAATTTGTATTGAGTGTTTTCGGCCGACTAGCAGCAGTTCCACAACAAAGAAAAAGAGGTGTCAGCTAGGTTCATTTTACATAATTTCAACGCTATTACGGTATCGATTCGAAAACATTTATCTACACATTAATTGGAATTATTGACTTAATTAACAACAGTACTGGAACATAACTTTCCATAATTTAATGGCATTATTCATCCAATTAAATAATTAACAAAGATGGGAAAGTTATATTTTATACTGTCATCATCAGTCTATTAATGTTCTGCAGGGGTGAGGCACAGTTTTTCTTTACGGAAACGAATAGAATCGAACAGATTAAATGGGCCATGGGCCACCATGTGGGTCCACTGTGGGTAGGTGGATGTTAACGAGAACCAACGGCTTCTTCAATAATACACTTTGGTCAACCAACTTACAATAGACCCTTGCGAGAGTTGCTTAATTTCTGTATCGCATCGCAAAGGCGCTAACTATTGCACCGCCTAGTGCATCTTACGTTTTTAATTGTAATTAAATGAACAGATTTATGGCGCTGAGGAAGTTAGCCAATTTCGTAAATCCCTATCATAGGATGGGTGACAAATATTTATCAATTCTTGCAATGTAAGTTCTTCGGAAAGAACTTTAAGTCGTTTGTTCCGGGTGTAGGTGCAAACGTTAATACACCATTACCCACCAATCCGCATTGGGCCCACGTAGTGAGTTACTACTAACTAAAAACTATTTTCAAACAATTTTTACTTATGTATTTTTGAAAACTTATTTCATAAGTGAACATTAAACCTGTACCGGATTCGAAACGTCTGAAAAATTTTATAATTTTTGTTGAATGAAGAAGTTTTATTTAATTATTAAATGATTCATTTTATTTTTTATTCTGCTATTTACTGTGAAACAAATTATGGTTCATATTTGCCTTTTGCTTGATAGACGATTAATAGGGATATGTGAAAATAGAGGTTACTGTTATATATTTATCTAAGAAAATAAAATTTTATTACACTATTTTAGAAAGTATTGTGCTTTAGAAACTTGAAAAAATAGGGAAAATATTTTACGAAAATATGCTAAAATACATATGGCATTAAATTAGTTGCATAAATATAGGAAGTGTCATTATAGCAACTATAAACGTAAACGTACAAATAACAAATATATTACACAGATTGCCCAGACGTCTATACGTACCACGGCGCGACGTCACTCCGTGGGTTGAATTAGTATGGAGAGTTTTTGGCCGACTAGCAGCACTTCCACAAACACAGCACCGTATCTCCGAAACTATTAATCGCAGACACACAGTTACTTCTGTATTATTTCTCAGATATCAAGGGACTGTTTAATTATAAAAAAAAGTAGTCAAATAGACTAATGTGGGCTGTCTTGGGCAATAAAAAGAATATCAATTGTTTTACAAAATTATTTTTCAGCGACTATAAAGAAGTCGGGTTTCATGTATAATAAACATTTAAAAAGAATTCCTTGCAAAAAAGTATTTTTAATGTAAAACGCCCGTTTCAGTATAACGGATAACTAAACCTAGTTTTAGGAAATGTTGGTCTTTGTGTCTTAGAAAATTATAAAGAATAATATAATTAAAATGAAAACACAATGGTAAAGCGTTTGAGACGACTGGTTAAAAAACATTTTGTTAAAAATAATATCAAAATTGAAAATAATCAAGATTTTGTGACAATAGAAAAAAAATTATTATTTGTAAATAAATAAATAATTATTTTTTTTCAATGGATTGTTCAAAAACTCTACATATCTATACATATATAAGATTACTATACATATATAAAAGGAAATGTCCAAACATATTGACTAACAGACAACGCACAGCCTAAATCACTAGTTGTAGATTTGAAATTTGGAGACATTCGTCTTATTACGTAGAGGTGTTTTCAGAACTTTGGTTTTGTAATAATGCAATATTTTAAACCGTTCAAGGCAAAGTAATATTAAAGTATTTTCACATATAGTATGCATAAACTTATAAAAAAATCTTCCTGGCTATACTATTTGCATCTGGCTGATTACGGTATCATTAAAAAGTTTAAATTTTAAAATAATAATTCGGAATTCAAAATAAGAAAATGTTTGAAAATATCAAATCTGTGAACTATCAAATTCAAATCAAAATTTTTATCACAAAAACAGGTAAGAATGCAACGCAAGCCTATAAAAATATGTGACATTTATGGACCTAGTACAGTTTTTGTGAGAGTAGTACAAATTGGTTTAAGCGTTTTCTGATCGGAAATTTAGCTGTGAGGTGTTAATGCATTCGCCGTATAGTAATTACCTTGCATCTTAATATTTCCACCTGTTTCGGTCTCTTCAGAATTCTTTAGGCAGTGTCAGGTTAACGTCACAAGATGACCGCCAAAACAACTGGTCGCGGTTTTTTTATCAGAAGCCCTAAAATTTCTATAGCAATGGGATCATGTCTGTAACTACAAGAAGGCAAAAAGTTATAGAAGAAAACAGTACCAACATATTTTAGTTAAATGTAAATAAACTTTGTTAAAAAATGTTGTGAATTTCCATATAAAATGCAAATGATCAAAAAGGGGTTGTCGCACTTCTGCCCTATATATTGTAATGATGATCATATCTTTCGATGTTGAAAAGGTGTCTTTTAAACTATATACGGACAGTGAATGTGACGTTCATTTGCGTATAAATACCTCGTTTTCAGATGTCACGAGTCAGTCGCAAAGTGAATTCGACATCATTTCACGTCATGAGCATAAAAACTCTACCATTATGGAAATATCTGCTGTAATAGCTTTGATATCAATTTGTGAAACGAAAATATGTATAGGAAAAACTTGTAGACAGCGTACAAAATTTTTTATTTTCTATGTAGAAATTATAGAAACACAAAATGACCTCCCAAATTTTTTTTGTATAATGAACAATTCTTAAAAAAATATCCAGCTACAGGTACCTCTCGTACCCTGTTACCATCTACGACGGTGGACTTTTAAATATTTTTTCATTAGAGATATTTATCGATATAGCTTTAAGAGGTACAATAACCTAATGGTTTGCGAGTAATTACTCGCTCGACTCGACTCGACTTGTCGGAGACACTTCCGTGCCCCCAGATAGATAGATAAGTTCAGAGAATAGCGTAGTACGCCTCAAAAATTACTTTTTGAGCGATACTTAATTAAAACTAATTTTTAAACGACTTCAAAATCCAAAAGGAAGAGGTTATATGTTCGACGGTGATGTATGTTTTTTATGTATGTTCATCGATATTTCCGGCACTTGTTGGCTGATTTTCATATATTTCCGTAACGCTTGGCATCTTAATATACATTATATGAAAATATCGGGTTGGCACAAAAGTAATGAGACACTTGGTTTAAGTTTTTACTTTTTTATTATTATTACAATAAAAAAAGTTTAGTCAATGATGTAATTACCATTAGTATCTAAGACTTCTTGCCAACGATCCGGCAAAGTTTGGATACCTTTTGCCCAGAACTCTGATGGCTATGCCTCGAAAAAGTAGTTCAACTCCGCCTCTACGTCAGAGAAATCATTAAATTGTTTACCCCGCAAATGCTGTTTCAGGGCTCTAAATAAATGATAGTCTGATGGGGCGAGGTCTGGGGAATAAGGTGGGTGGGGTATCGTCTCCCAGCCCAAGTTCTCCAACTGCCGGCGAACCACAGATGCGACGTGAGGTCGGGCATTATCGTGCAGTAAAACTACATTGACTCGTCTTCGTCGTTTTTTCTTGATAGCGGCAGATAATTTGGTAAACTGGGTTGAATATTTGTCAGCGTTTATAGTTTCATTGTGTAATAGCTCATAAAACAGTATGCCTTGCGCATCCCAGGAACAGCAAAGCAGAATTTTTCGGCGGTACTTTTGACTCGGCTTCGGTTGAGTTGGTGGCGTTTCTTCTCGAGGCAGCCAAAAAGCACGACGTGTATCGTTCTCGTAATAAATCCATGATTCATCTCCAGTAACCAGATCTGACAAAAACTCTTTACGTCGGGGTCGCAGCAAAAGTGACTGACAGATAGCGACACGGACTGCACGACTGGCGTCTGTAAGGATGTGCGTTACCCACCAAGCCAAAACTTTTCGATATCCAAGCTCATGCAGATGGTGTTCCACGGCGTGGTGACTGCATTTAAGTGCTTCCGCTAATTCACGAGTGGTAGCATCCGGATTCAACTGCAGTTCGCGGCGCAAATCATCATCATTCACTGCGGGTGGTCGCCCTGAGCGTGGCTGACTTTCAAGGCTCCTGTCTCCTGATTTAAAACGGTCAAACCATCGGGACACCGTCGCATGGCTTGTACTTCCAGCACCTAATGCATTGTTGATATTGTCAGCCGCAGCCCGCGCACTGTGGCCTAACAAGTACTCGTATAAATATAGTGTTCGAACTTGTCGCTCGTCCATTTTTCTTCGAACTGACTAAACAAATCGCGAGCACGGCTTTATATACCCTACACCAGAAGTACCTAGAATGTTCTACAACATTCTAGAATATTATCGAAAAAAATGATTTTAAAAAGGAAATGTTATAGATTTTTCTAGTGTGTCTCATTACTTTTGTGCCAACCCAATATCTTATTATCTTAGCCGTGTGTTGGGCTATTGGATAGTATGGCGAGATATATTTTATAATAAGATGTAATATTATAACATCTTCACCGTCTACTATGTGCTTTCAGTACAAGTATAAATTTGCTAAACATAAGACAAATGAACTATCGGCAGTCGATGAAAGAAACATTAATCGGATTGATTCTGCCAATATAAACTCTAAATAGCTATAAATAAAGCACAAAACTCACCTAAATATGACAGTAGTCACCCCATCTACGTGAACAGCATCAGTCAGCGACCATTGGAGCACCAAATTGTTCCTGTCGCCCAAAGGCCCGCTCACAACCCTAGCCGGGAGGAACCTCCTCCTATATCTACTCTTCAATTTGAACACTGATCGCGCCCCCCTCCCCAGCCTATACCGAGGCCGGAAATAATAACCCCTCTCACTTTTGCGTGTCCTTAACTTATCGTCGAACCGGTAACTTTTAGATCGCTCCGAGCGACGGACGAAGTAGGGTTGATCGTCGCGGCACGGTCGGTCTTCGAATGAAGTCGGCGTGAAGTTCCCCCTGACGAAGTTACCGACTATAGTTTGGAGGACATAGTCCTGTAGGTTTGGATCTTCAAACTGGAGATGAACTGAAACAAAAGCAGAAACTGTTGAAATTATACTGCAATGTTATCATTGTCTGTTTGACCAACTTATCGATCAATGAAATTGAATCTTTAGGAAAATTGCCTAAAAACAAGCAAAGACATATGTCGTTTGGTTACAGCAAATTTTAACCGATAAAAAATATGGATGTATATTGTATCGATATTTCATAACGCTTGAATAGCGCAATATAGGCTTGTGTCCTACAAGTGAAAATACAGGTTTCTGTTATATGTTCGGAAAATATGAATCATTTGGACTCATAAATATTTAACAAAATGAATTTTATGAGTCATTTACAAAATATTACGCTTTGAAAACTTCTAAAAAGCTGGCTAAATATATTACCAAAATTGGCTTAAATATATGACATTAAATTATTTACATAAAACGCAAGAACTCTCATTATGACAGCTACGAACATAAACGCACAAATAGCAAAGATAATACAAAGATTGCCCAGACGCACAAACGTTTTTCGCCACCGTAGCACTGTGCGATGTCACTTAGTGCCTTGAATTTGTAGGGAATGTTTTCGGCCGACTAGTAATAATTCCACAATCTTAACACCGTATCTTCGAATTTATTAATCGCAGACATGCTGTTAATTGTACATTATTTTTCAGATATTAATAGACTAATTATTTCTAAAATAAAAAAAAATTGTCAACTAGCCCATTATTGTTTATTTTGATATCTAAACACGAGTGCTTATTTGATAAATTGTATTTTATGTGGGTAAGTATATGTATGTGTAAAAATCAGTTATTGGATCTCAATTATATTTGTTTGTTTGATTTATTAGCATTCATATAAGGTCATATCATTATAAGTTTCATCAAACCAGTTCGGTAGTATTGAAAAATTAATAAGAAAACTAATAAAGTTTAACCGAATTGACAGAAGAATTAAATAAAAAGTGTTTTTTTTTTATATATAAAAAACTAACAGCTAAGTAAAATATATTTCAATAAACACAATATGCACAATGCTACACTGAAAAATATTCTGATTATATGTACAACCTATGACCTACAGACTTTAAAAGTTGTATTTATTATTGTGATTATACATATTATTTTGTTAATGACATGATTTATGTGAATGTCATTATTTATAATAATGAGCTGGTGAATTTATTTCGCTTGTTCTTCTTGTCAGCCAAAAAAATTTTTGGACGATTCAAAAGTACTTGTAATAAGCCTACTTGAATAAAGATATTTTCATTTCATTTCATTCTTATTTAAAAATGTTTAAAAAATTAAATTTTTCGCTGGCACTCTGAGATGGGACTCGAACCCTGGGAAGGTTAGTGGTTAGAGCAGTCGCCCGGATTGCGAAAATCATGGATTCGAGTCCCATCTCAGAGTGCCAGGGATAAAGTAGATTTTTCAAGCATTTTCTTTAAGAATATTTTGGTATTATTTTTCATAGTAGACTCCCGTTACGTTTCCAACAAATGGTGTGACAAAGCATTTCCTTACAATCGTGGATGCCCAAAATCTATACGTCGTTTGACGGAAGCAACACCAAATGGGCCGGTAGCGCCCTAAAAATGTCCACCCAAGGGACTAATTTCCTGAGGCCCTATTTGGGACACAAAGGACGTCAATTATTAGACTGTCGATATTCATCATTTGACGATGGATCAAATAATTTGGACTTGGAATTTATGACTCTACTTGTGGATCAAGTATATGGTAAACATTTAATTGATCTACGATGGGAAAAAATGCTTAATCAAATTAGTACTATAAATTCGACTGAAATTATATCGGCAATACTTTTGATTACACAATTTTTCCCTTTGAGTGTTAGGTAATATTCTAGAACTATACTCCATTCATTATAACATTAGAAAAAATAGGATCTCAAAAGCAGCAGTGCAGAACATTTTATTTACAAGATAAATTAAAAAAATATTTATAATAGTTTTGTTGAAATTTTGAACTTTAGGTAGTCTGAAAGAGTTGGGCAATTTTACATTTTCTCGGGGTTGAGATGAGACTAGCATTTTCTAAATTCATCTTTTACTAAGAGCCAACATGGAAATAAAACTATTTATCTGTTGTTTTATTTGATTCTTATTGTAACTGTATATAATTAGAATATAATTTAGTTATATCTATGCCCAGAAAATAAAGGTAAACAAAATGAAATTTTTGTTATAACATTTATTCAGATATTATTAGACATTGGAAAAACTTGCTGAAATGTCAAAGGTAATTGTTGTAGGCCACTTGGGCCTGCTCTGGAATCGCAATTAAGCAAAACTTAACAACAAAAAGATAACAACTAAAACAAAACTATAAGAAAACAACAATAAAACAGTAATTACTCAATCACCGAAAATGGCAAAACAACAAGAAAGGCAGTAGCATTCACAATTCATGACAATCCCAGATTACGTATTTTGACTATTATGAATAAATCATAATCTGACAAAATTAAAAAGCTGTACTGCCGAAACCGCTGTACTGGTATTTAAGTGGATATGTAGCAAATTAGCCGTTAGTCTTAAGAGTAACATGATTGTTGACATTTTATCACAAAGTATACCATAAAAAGAACCTTATATTCATTCTGTCTAATGTTATAATGAATGGAGTATAGGTAGGTAGATCGTATTTTTAACCCCCGACGCAAAAAGAGGGGTGTTATTAGTTTGATGTGTCTCTGTATGTGTGTCTGTCTGTCTGTAGTATCATAGCTCTCGAACGGACAAAGCGATTTCAATTTAGTTTTTGTATTAAAGGTGAAGAAGAGTAATATAAACATTAAGTATCGATTATTAGCTAGAGAATCAAAAACTATAAAATCGATTTAAAAATTTAAAAAAACCCAGTACAATAACCAAAGGTGCTTTAAAAGAGTAAAAAAAAAAAAAAAAACAATTTTAAAGTACCTTATTATTATTATTATTATTTAATCTTATTTGCCTACAGAAATAGACAAATGGCGGACTTAATGCCAAATAGGCATTCTCTACCAGTCAACCAGTAAATTTAGTAAAAACTTAAAGAGGCGACAGACATAACGAATGTACATTACACTTTTGTTGGGATATCATATCAACATAAGAACTATATCTAAATATATATATAAGAATATATACAATAAAAGATATATATACATTTACATAAACATATACATATATAACCATAACACAAATTACTAATCAAAATCTGGTGTCGGATCAAGAAAACTTGTTAGAAGCATGGTAGAAGTTGCGAGCTGCTGTCTTGAATGTAAATTTGTTAGGAGCACTCCGGACGTTCAAAGGCAATAAATTCCAAAGACGGATGGCAGTAAGAGTGAAGGAATGAGATATAAAACTAGAATGGTGAGAAGGGGTTTGGAGCACCAGTCTACTACTGGAACGGAGATTTTTCTTGTGGGAGGCACCGAGGATTTCAAACCGTGACTTTAAATACTCAGGTGCTCGTGGATCAAAATGGATCTGATAAAGTGTCCTTAAGTGCCTACGCTCCCGTATAGGAAGCCACTCAAGATGTTGACGAAAATTGTAGATGTGGTCATATTTACGCAGACCGAAAACAAAACGAATCGTATTGTTCAGAAGGCGATCCAATCTATTGAGAGAGGTTTGATTGATATCTGAAGTACAAACATCAGCATAATCGAAAAGGGGATGTACAAGAGCTTGGATGAGAGCAGATTTAGTACGGGGAGGGAGAAAGTTCTTAAATCGATAAAGTGAGCCGAGGGCGCGATGGATTTTACCACAGACTTTATCCATCTGATCATCCCAGTGCAAAGTACTGTCAAGAATAAGCCCAAGATTTTTTACCTTAGCGGCATAAGGGATCACCGAGCCAGCATAGACAACAGCTGGAATTGTGTTGAGATTAGTTTGCGATATTTGTCGTGAGCTACCAATAATAATGGCCTGACGTTTATTGGGATTGACAGAAATACCGAAGTTTTTTGACCATTCAAATATACGCGAAAGATTTTGGTTCAGTATACATATAGCCTTATTCAAGTTGTGAATGTCATCCTGAGCATATATCTGCAGGTCGTCGTCGTACAGGTGATAAGAGGTTGTAAGAACAGAAGTGAGGGAGTTAATAAAAATTGAGAAGAGAAGAGGAGAGAGCACACCGCCTTGAGGGACCCCAGCAAACAAGTCACACCAGTTAGAAACTAAATTAGAGACCATGCGAGCACGGATGAAGAACAACCAAGCTTATAGAGAAGACCAAGGAGGACATCGTAATCAACTGTGTTAAAAGCATTTGAAAAATCAAGTAAAACTAACACAGTTAAACGAGAGTTCTCCATACCATCACGAATATCGTCAACGATTTTAATAAGGGCAGTGGAGGTGCTATGACCCGGGCGGAACCCTGACTGGAAAGGGGATAGGAGCTGATAACAAAAAACAAAGGATGAAAGTTGTTTATGTAAAGCAGCTTCGAGAACCTTGGAGAGGAAAGGTAAAATTAAAATTGGTCTATAATGATTCATGGAGTCAGGACAAGAAATTTTAGGGAGAGGGATAGTGTAAGCCCTTTGCCAGGCATCGGGAAAGGAACCAGATGATAAAGAATGGTTAAGTATTGAGGTTAGTGTCGGGAGAATAGCATCAAGTAACAGATTTATCATATTCCTGCTAATGTTGTCGGATCCCATAGCCTTGGACTTTATAGAGACAATCAACTTACGAGTGTCATCTTCGGTGAGAGGGGTAAAGAAGAAGAGATTACTAGGTGATACAGTCGTAGAGAAAAGTCTGGATAAACTGAGGAACTTAGCATTGACAGGGAGGGTATTAACAGGAGAAAAATGACGGTTGAGATTATCTAACGCGAAAGGGCAGGAAGGCTTATTAGGAGACTTTCCTAACCCCAGAGAATTCAGGAACCTCCACATTTCCGCAGGGGAGGAGTTAATAATGGTTTTATGAATGTAATGGCGTTTGGCTCTTCTTATCACCTGGTTACACCTGTTTCTGGCATGT